ACGTGAATAATAGAGCGATAGTAGAAACAAATTTTCTTAAAGAAAAAAATTTTAAGGAAGGGTATAAGCAGATCAAAAAAAATCGGACGTGTATTTAATGAATTTGATAAATATACTGTTGTATTTTAAATTGATTCATTTGTTTGTATTGTAACTATGAGAGTTTAATTAATTTAAATGTCGCGCCTACTATAACTTTCCCTTCTATTTTAAAAATATATGTAATTCAATCAGAATATTTTTTTTAACAGACCCATGTGTTAAAACCCTCCGCTGATATGAAACAGTTGTAATGTGTCATGATGTCGATCAATACATTTTTAAGTTCATATATTCGGACCTTGGTTGGAGAATCCTTTGAATAATTCCTTCAGCATCTACATAATGTAATCTTTTGTAATATTAAAGAAGAAATTTTAATGTTCTAATTTTTGAAATTTTATTGAATCTTTGCTGCTAACATTAATAAAGTATTTAGCAAGACAGTATCAACATGAAATCTGCATGATACAAAAAGAATATGTGAAATAAAAAAAAATGAGGAGGTAATATAAACAAATATTTTTTAAAAAATGGCGTTTTTTTTTTTTGATTTCGATTCTTCGCTAAAAGTGGAAGAAATGTCGATCCGTAAACAAAACAAAAAGATAATCCTTAAATTGATTTCCAGATTTCCCCTGAGTTACAAGTGGAACCGGTTTTAGTTCTTCGGATTTAAATCCAGTTTTCCCCGTTCTTAAAACCAGATACTAAATTTGTCAATACAAAAAAAAAAACTGTTTTTATTATTATATCCGAACCTCCGGTTTTATTATAATTTATTAGCGTTATAAAATAAAGTAATTAATATTAAAGCAAATCATTTTCTAAAATGGTTTATTGTAACATAATAAAAAAATCACAGCATTTATAGAATCTCCCTATAAAATTTTTAGATCATTTATTTGCCGTAAAAGTCTTGACGATGCGACATATATGATTTGGACGGTCATTCGCTTATATCACCTTGCCGATCATTTGTCTATTATTAATATTATATTTAATATTATCACATTTGTTTTGAAACTTTTGTGGACGAAGTTAAAAATGCTTGGGTAAATTATATTAATATAAACGATTGTTAAGTATTAAGTAAAAAAAAAAAATAAAATAAAATAAAAATAAAACATCACAAATTTTAGCTAGGTCGAAATTATTTTTATCGCATATGCCGATCATTTACAAAATTACTTGTTTTTTGAGCGAACACTTTTTATATAAATAAATAAAAAAAAATTAGTTTTTGTAAAATAAATTAATTTAACAACAATAACCACAACGGGTTCACCATATTCTACAAGTTC